TGTATCTTGCTAGTCCAGGAAAAGATCTAAATTCAAAATTCAAAATACGATTTTTACATTTCTACTGAATACATATTGCTTTTATAGAATGATAAATTTGAAATTCCTAGTTGAATTCTTACAAGTCAATTACTATAATATTATTCATAATAGAGAGCTCTACTATAAGAAGTACATTATTTTCTTTACAGCATTTATCACGATGTACAATTATATTATTAGGCTTGTCAATTATCTATTTCCTTTACTTACATCTGGCTTCATGAATATTAAGGTTTTACTTATTCACCATTGTATTCCTAGTGCTAGGACAGTGCCTGGCATACACTAGGTGCTCAATACAAGTTTGTTGAAGGAATGAGTGAGTGAGCTTCTATAGGCCAGTGAAAAAATGATAAACAACCCACTAGAAAAATGCTCAATGAACAATTAATAGGCAATTTGTAAATTGGGCATGGTGGCACATGCCTGCAATCCTAGCACCTCTGGAGGCTGAGGCAGGAGGATCACAAATTCAAGGGCAGCCATACCAACTTAGGGAGGCCCTAAGAAAACTAGTGAAATCTTATCTCAAAATAAAAAATAAAAAGGGATGAAAATGAGGCTCAGTGGTAATGCCATGCCTCCCCCCCCACTGCCAAAAACAAAATCCCCAACCAAACAACAAAACCCCAGGCAATTCATGGAGAAAACACAAAAGGGCTGTGCCCTTTAAAATGATGCAGTAAGCAGTAATAATTAAGATACACAAATAAAAATAGCATTGGGATGATGAAAATGCTATTTTCCACATCTTGGAGGGGTGAAAAATAAAAAGGTTGCTAAAACCTCGGGTTTGTGAGGATGTGGTAAAACAGGCAAATTCATTCTGAGGCACTGACTTCTGGAGAGCAAGTAGAAATGTCATTTGCCCTCACAAGTCCTCTCCTAGGAGTTTATCCTTTTGAAATGCTCCATGTATAAGGATGTTCATTTAAACATTATTTGTAAGTAGCAACAAATTGGAGTCAAACTAAATGACTTCAATGAAGGTCTAGTTAAATCATTATACTACATATAATACAGTATAGTACATATAGTACTTTAGGAATTATACTATACACACATACTATAATACGTCTCCTCTACCCCTTCTATCCTATTGTAACCTTGACCAAGTTTCTAAACCTCTCTGCACCTTGATTTTCTCATCTGTAAAATGGAAGCATTAATTAAACCTTTGTCATGAAGTTGTGAGAAGTAAACAAGATATGCCATGTGAAATGTTTAGATAGCACCTGGCACAGAGTGTTTAATAATTGCTATATTTTCTATTCCTGCTCTAATGACAACAATGACAATGTAGCCATAGAAGCTAGATCTTTATGTACTGATCTGCATTCCTGTCTCCAATAGAGTATTGTGATATAAGCATTTTGCAGAAGAGTTAAGTCTAGCAGGAACTGATTTTTGTTAAGGATACTATATGACATCCATGAGAATAAAAAAGGTTGGAATGATAGACAGAAAACAATGTTTACTTCTGGGCAACTGGATGTTGGGGTAGATTTTCACTCCAGTAATGATGAGAGTTGTTTAAAATAAGCACGTGTTCATTTTAAAATAAACAAAAGATGTAAAGGGAAAAAAAGCTCCATTTATAACGGCGAGGACAGTTAATCCCACCAGGCCTCACATCCCCCTGTCCTTGGCCACAGCCCAAGCCTTAAGCCTCCCTGCCCTTCATGTGTCCTCTCCCATCCCATCCCACACTGCGCTGGGAGCCCATCCCCACCACTCCTAACTCATCCATCTCCACACCATCGCCCTCTCCCACTCCTCTCAGTGCCCTCTGAGAGGCCTCACAATAACAATTCCCTCTCTATTCTGGATAGACTTCCTCAATGAATGCTGAGGTCTGCTACCTCTGCGCCTCAAGTGCTGAAACCTGAGTCTTCACGAAGGAGCTTACGGCTTTGCCCGCAGCGCCCTCTAGTGGACACTGTCCACACTCCCACACCACAGGCACCCTAGGGCTGGGAGGTGGGGTCTGTGCTCTAGCTTCCCCTGTCTGCTTCCAGACCGTTAGTCCTCTATCCTCGGCCAAGATACTCCTCCTTCCCATGCCATCTGGCTACGGCACCCACTTCTCTCCTCTCCTCGTCGACTCTTCTTTTTGGTCAGCCCCCACCCACCCCCATATTCAAGGAAGCGTTCAACATCTGGCTCACTGTCTTCTCTGCCCCAAGTCCTGACATCATTCTGGGTGAGTTTGACATCCATGATCCATGTGCAGCACACACCTCCATCCCAGCCTTACCATGCTTCACCATCATTCCGAACCCCCACCATCCACATCATCCCGGCTGACCTCAAAACTCCTCTTTTTTGCTTCAGGAAGATCTCCAAGCTTTTTAGCCCCATTCTCCCACCTTACTTCCTTTCCTCTCCAACTTCAAAACTGATTATGATGATAAGAATAGCAATTAATATGTATGTGCCATAACTTTATGAAGGAAGTATTCTTGTTTTTTTTTTTTTTTCAAATGAGATAACCAGGGCTCAGAGAGGTTGAGTGACTTTCCCAAAGTCCCACAGCTCTGAGTCAGAGATGAGATTTGAAGCTAAGTCTGTTTGCATAACTCAAGGAATGTATACTTCGGGATCTTGCTGATACCCCTAACTCCCTTGCCACATCCACGAGGCAAAATCCCAAGTCTGGATAAGTTTAACTGACAGTCTCCTCCTCTGTGCTTACACCCAGATGGAGGAATACTGCTGGAGAAAATCCCATCGCTTTGTTGATTAGTCCCACTAGAAAGTCATAGTTTCCAACCTCAGCGGGGCCCTCAATTCAGCTAAACAATCCTTCTAAGTAACTGTCCTGACAACAGCACTTTCAAACTTTCTCCACTGCCCTTTGGAGTCAGACTGTCTGGGTTAGAGTCCTGCTCGGCCACTTCCATGATCCATACCGTGCCAGTCTTTAAAGAAGGGTGAGGCAGAGGAAAAGGGATGAGGGGAAGGGGAAGTAATATGTATCGAGTGTCTTCTGGATACCAGCCACTGTGCCAGGTGCTTTGCATGCAGTATCTCATTTAATTCTCCCAGCATCTCCCCACAGGAGATGCTATTGTTATTCTTGCTGTAGAGAGGAGGAGACTGAGGCACAGAAAGGTTAAGTCACTTATTAAGGTGACACAGTTGGTAAGTGAAGAAGTCATCTCATTTATTTAGACCCTCTTTATTTTCATGGATTACTGTGATAGGCTGCTAAATGGTCCCCATAACCTGTGACATGCCCTGTGATCTACCTTTTCTACTGTTGTTGGGGCAATCTTTCAGAAATGTGTACATCTCACTGTGCAACTACCTTGCTAAAAGTCCTTCCAAAGCTTCCTCCAGTCTTCAGTGTGAAACAATAATTTTTAATCTTAACCATTTGGCCCCCTTCTTTCTTTCTCAGTGCATGCCCTACCACCTGCACAGGATGCAGCCTCATGGAACTTTCTAACTACCTGAAGACAGCTATTTTTTCTTTTCTCTGACTCCGTACCTTTGTATATGTTCCATCTACTCTCCCCCATCCTCTGCACCCATTCCGGTCCACTTTAAATGCTCCTCTTCTGTACTTTCACAGTACTCATGCATTGATCCTGGTGTGCTGTTGTTCCCCATTAACTCACATCCCCTACTAAACTGGGAGCTGCTTGAAGGCGGGTACTATGCCCTAGTTGGCTCCATATTCTCCAGAGCATAGCAGGAGACTCTAGTTAAATCCCCGTTTGTTGAATGACTGACCGACTAAATGAATGGAGTGAATGAGGGGAGAAAAAGCCCTCAGTTGGAAACTTTAGTGACATGAGCTGTACGGTATCTGGTTCTTGGCTGAAGCTGCTGCAGTTTTTCCCTATGACTACAGTGCTGTAAAAATATGTCTGCACGTGGATAAAGACTGGAAGAGAACTTTCCACACAAAATTAAGAGTTGTGTTTGAGTGGTGAGTTGATGGATGCTTTTTTTCCCCCCCTGTTTTCAGAAATGTTCTTTAGTACTGTTTTCTGAGCGATTTGGCAAAGTAGCAGACATTGTAGAAATGGGATCTGGGATTCTCGTGGAGGAATTGACAACCAACATGTATTGATGCCCAGTGGACCCTATGGGATCTAGGTGCTCTGGGGAGGCAAGTGGGTAAAGGCGACTCATTCTGACTCAGGTTCACATGGCCAGGAGTCTTGCCAATTCTGTTGGATTTGCTGGAATAAAATGAGAACTTTCAAGAATTTTCCAAGCTCCTGGGTTGAGGTATTTTTTTTTCTCCCAAAGCTGGGCAGCAAACAAAGATGGCTTTTGTTTGCAGTAAAACATTCATTTCTCTGATTTTGTCCTGCAAAGTAACTTTCTGCTGCTTTGGGGGTTCAGGTTTGCTGAGTGGGGAAACTGACTGGGTGTGCTTGGTTGGTTCAGAAATGACCAAAAATGTTTCCCTTTTCTGGCTCTCAAATAAGATGTTTAGGAATTTCATTGGCAAAACGATAAAGTTGTTCCTTTAGTGCGGCAGTATTTCCAAAACTACATATTGTGTGTTAACCCAGAAGAAGCAAAAGAAAGGGGGGGCAGCAAAGTGCTATGCAAGATTCAGATGATGAATATTCTGCCTTTATTGGGTGCTTATTCACCATATTGTGTCAGGCGCTGTGTTCAGGACTTTGGAGATATCTCATTTAATGCTCACAAAAGCCTACAGAAAAGGGACTGTTATTACCCCCAGGTTAGAGATGGGAAAATTGAGGTTCATAGACGTTCAGCTCTGAAATCATGAGACCAGGATTCAAAACCAAGCTTGACTGGCTCCACAGGTAAGCTCTAACCATTCAGCAACCCTGTTTCTAGGCTGGTCTGTCTACAGAGAAACAGAGGCATATATTTATTTTTATTTAATAAATAGTTGTTTAGTGTTTACCACGTGCCAGACACATGGTAAGTGCTTTATAAACATTAGCTCAATGAATCCTTACACACAACCCTGTAAGAAGGTGCTGTTATTAATGCCATGGGACAGATGAGATCACAGAGGCATAGGGAGGTTAAGTCACTTCCCCAGAATCGGGCAGGTTAGCATGGGACAGAGCCAGAGTTACAATCCAGGCAGCCATATTCTGCTGTTGGGCTCTTAACCTTCACTCTTTGCTGGATAGTGCGCTAGCTCTGTGTCCTGTTTACACAGCTCTGGCTCAGAAACACTAAAGACTTGGGTCTCTTTTTGCCGTTTTAAAGCAAGTTTGTATTTGGGGGAGTATTTTCCCCCATCAAAGCCCTGTGTTCTGTTCCTAGTGGTCTTGTGGAATGGAGCATGGGGGAGGGGTGGTAAATATACACCTCTGTCCTTCCATAGCAAGACTAGCCGAAAGGCAGGTTTCCAAGTGAGCTTACCTGTGGAGCTGGCTGAACTTGACTTTGAATCCTGGTCTCCTGATTTCGAAGCTGAACCTCTCTGAACCTCTGTTTCACCATCTGTGCTGAAGAAGGGAGCTTTCGTCTGATGCCTTCATTTACCATACTTCTGATTTTCAGTGTTTTGGGGAGAGGCAGTTATCTTCTGCAGTTAGATGCTGGGTTGATGAAGGGCTTTTGGTGTGTCACCCCTTTTCATTCAACGGAGGTTTCAGGCGAGTGCCCTTCAAAGGTAATTTGCTTGAGGTCACCAGAAGCAGACACAGAGTGCTCTCTCCTGCCTCACTGTCCCACTTTTCCCTCCCTACCTCCTCCTGCTGCCCTGCTTCATTCTCCAGAGCCAGGCCTAGACAATGGCCGCTGCTCAGCTCAAAGAGAGGGGGGTGAAGGGGCAGCAGGCCCAGCCCACCAGCTTGAAAGCTTCATTTGACAGGGGAGGAGGCACATCTGGTTTGGGTTTTCGATTCAATTCAACAATGATTTATTGTAGGCCTGCCAGCTGCAGAGGTTCTGGGCTAGGCTAGGCAGCAAGAGATGGGAAGATAAGTAAAATATTGTCCATGCCCTTAAAGGAGTTTTCTAGGTTGTAGAGGTGTGTAGACTAGAATAAGCAATTGCTAAGCGACAGGCCTGGTGCCGAGTGTTGTACCTTGAGTACATTATGTCTTTGAATCTTCCCGACAGGTTCAATGATGAAGGTGAGGAAAGGATTATTGCTTTATTTTTCATATGAGGAAAGTGGCCCTCAGAGAGGAAGTGACTGACCCAAGGGCATGGAAGTGACCAAACCAAGTCTGGAAGCTAGCTGTGTCTGGTTCCCAAGTCCACACTTTGAATCATTCTGCTTTCCAGGGATGATGAAGAGGATGTTCATAAGTAACATTTCCTGAACTCTGCAGGCCCCATCTTTTTTTTTTTTTTTAATAGTGGATGGTCACAATACCTTTATTTTTAAAATTTATTTATATGTGGTGCTGAAGATCAAACCCAGTGCCTCACTCATGCTAGGCAAGTGCTCCACCACTGAGCCACAACCCCTGCCCCAACACCGAAGGCCCTATCTTGTGAGTGGGTTAAGATATTATTTCATGGGCAATTTCCAACATCTCTTTCCAGAAGAGAAAAACTGAGGTTGCATTGGGAAGTGATGGAGCTGGGGTTTAAAACTAGGCTAATCTGTCTCACCAGCCTATACCATAAAAGAGGTAGACCCAGGGGGCCAGGAAAACCCAGATGGTAAGAACAATCAATTAATTGTGCTTCAGAAGTCTTCATAGAAGAGATGGTATTTGGACTTCACTTTGAAGAATGAGTTGGGGTTTTGACAGGTAGAGCTTGGAGAGAATGCCTTCTAGCCAGAAAGAGATGCTCTAAGCAAGGGTCCCAGAGAGATGACTCAGTGGGGCATTGTGCTTGAGTGGTCCCAGGCTCATTCATCTTGCCAGAAGGATACTGTGTGTAGGGGAACAATGGGAAGGGAACTGGATACCCCTGAGAGTTTCCCACATTTTTGTCAAGTTGAAGTTCTTGTTCTTCAATTAAAAGCAGGTACTCCATCCAAAAGGCTTTTCTAATCATACTGTCATGCAACCCATGGACAAATACACAGGAGACACAGTGTGTCTATATAAGAACTGTGCTGAGAACTGTGGGGAATAGAAAAAATACTCAATTCCTCAAGTGTGTGCTGAGGGCCCCCGTGTGGTTGGGGTGACAAGATACACACATGGGAAAAAAGCAGCATGCAGTCCAGGCAGTTTCCAATCAAGCCAGATGAGGTTTCCCAACTGTCAGATTTCAGGGATGGGGAGGAGGGACTGCAAGGAAGAGGCTTCAGTGAGAGGGTAGGTTTGGGCTTTGAGGCATGGAGGCAGAGGAAGGCAGGAAAGCTGAAGCCTGGGTGGCGTGACCAGTGTGGCTAGTGTGTAGGGCTTTGGAGAGTCTCCAGACTACTGTTCTCCCTCTCCATGTCTTAATTTCCAGGAGTTGGTTCCAGGATATGGGACTGGATGGGATCAGATACAGCCTGTTGGAGATGGGAAACAGGGTCGGGTACCTGATATTCCTGATCCTCCAATTTTCTACACTTAGCCTCAATTCCTGGCAGCTCCCCTAGCTGCAGAATTGTATGTGTATGTGAGAGCCGTATTTTAAATTAAGCAGTGAGTGCTTTCAGCTCATCATAAACATGCTAAAAAGCTTCAGCCACGGCCTGAGCCCACCCCCACCCCTTACACACAAGCAGCAGCTGGGGCCACTCGACCCCGCACTCTAATGCGCATTGCCTATGACTCACCAAAAAAAAAAAAAAAAAAAAAAAAAACCACTGTATATTTCAGTCTCCCTGGGTAGCTGATTCCTAGTTGTGGTGGGAAATCTCAGTCTGAATTTGGAAGGCAGAGGGCCTCAGCCCCGCCCTATTGACTGAGCATTCTACAACTTATGGAGTGTCTACTATCTGCAAGGCATTGTGGGTAAGTCTATTAATCTTTCTGGGCTTTCTCAGCTTCGATAAGCATGCAATAATATAACCCTGCCTGCTTTACCTCATTACCAGGGATCTGTCTCAGTCACACTGCTCTTTTAATTTCTGGAACATTCCCAAAGTCTTTTCCTGCCCCAGGGCCTTTATGTATGCTGCCTCTTCTGCCTGGACTGCCTTTGCTCTTGCTTTCAGCATGGACGTTTCTTTACCATTCAGTCTCTGCTTAAGTGTTACCTCCTAAGAAGAGCAGTTTTTGGCCACCTACATTTAGTTCTCTCCTGCCCCTCCCTCATATTCTTTTTGTGGGCAATGCTTTCTTAATTGTACTTACTTCTCTGGGTAATTATGTCTATTTATATTTTCTGGTTTTGGTATGTCTCTCCCACTGGAATATAAGCTCTAAGAGGACAGGGACCTTGTCTGTATTGCTTAGCATTGTGTCCCTCTCATCTAGAAAGGTACTTGGCACATAGTAGGCTAACATAAGCAAAACCATCTGGGAAATATTTTCTCCCTGTGGTTCTTGCCAGACATATGGTTGCTGAGGGGAAAAAATCATGGTAGATCTGTGTCATTCCATATGAAAAAAAAATGGGGCTAAAGGGAGGAGTTTGTTGAAAACAGTTCTGTTTTAGAAACCAGTCCTTGGAGTCTCATCACCAGACACAGTCTTACGAAATTAAACAAAAGGAATAAAAAAGCATAAAAAAACTAAATTTTTATCGGGTGCTTACTGCATGCCAAAAACTGTTCTAAGTGTTCTATGCAGATTATCTCATTTAGTCCTCATAATTACACAGGGACATAACTTCTATTATTAGCTCCATTTTACAGATGAGAGAATTGAGGCTCTGAGATGTTATGTGAAGAGCCCAGGGCCACGGATTGAGGGAGAGGCTGAATCAAAAGTTGAACCCAAGGCACTCTGAGTCCACAAACTAAATCATCTATAGCACCTGCAGTCCCTACTCCACTCCACCCTTGAATATGTTTCTTTCACAACACTAGTCACACTGAAGAATAAGGGTTTTGTTGTTTTTAACTAGGCTGGGAACTTCTCAAGCGCAAAGGGAGGGTGGGTCTTCTTTATTTTGCTTCCCTTATGCCTGGAATAGAGCTTGCTACAGAATGGGTACCTATCAATATCGGTTGAATAAATGAATGAGTGAGGGAATCCATGTTCCTTTATTTTTGTCAGGCTTCAGGGTGATGGGCTCATGTTTATTTCCCTGGCAGAGTGTAGCACTGGGGATAGGAGTGTTCTGGGGGAAGAAGTGTCTCTCACCACAGGGTACAAGGAGGACTAGCTTTGACTGAGAAAACCAAAGCAGTGTTCTACACAGCAAGGCACTTGATCCAAAGGGTTTCATTTTGTCGTCAGTTGAAAAAGTAGCTGGACCTGTTTAGGACTTAAACAAACTTTCAGTGTTCAAATCCCATCTCAAATCCTTTGCAGAATGAGGCAGGGTGTGGGGCGGCAGGGCAGGGGGGGGAGTTATAAATAAACAAATACCCACAAACCGGCTGGATTTTTAAACAGAATTTGCTTCAATCATCGCTGCGCCACATTTTCCCAACTGGCCTCCGTCATGAGAACAAGTGGGAACTTTCATACTGAATAGCTTTATTTTTTTTTCCGACTAGATGAATGGCAGGAGTTTTGGCTCGGGAGGCTGGTTTCCAATCCCCGGCACACAGTTTGCTGCCCTACTGTGCCCCATCCATCACACACAGCGCCCTGTACAACATACCCAGTCATCATATCTGCTGCTGCAGCCTTCAAAAAGAATTGGGTCATTGTTTTATTACACCACTGAGAGAACTGCAAGCCTGTTAGGATTATGTCATTGATATTTGCGTGAAAAGGCAATCATGATATGCTGGTCATTTAACACAGCTGGGAATGCAACTGTGTTGTCATTGTCTGAGGTTCTCTGCCAGCCCCTCTGACTTCGTTTCCCAGCCCAGCCAGTGGAAATGGATCTCTCTGATGTATGTCACCTTTGAAATGCTTTCTAGCCCTTCAAAGAACCAAGCAGGATCTAACTCTTCATGCACTTGGACTTTTCTGCTTGTAGGCACCGCTTTCTGCAGGTGAGAGCAGCTTGCTTTCCATGAGTGTGGGAGTTGTACACTCTAGTGGTAAGATGCTGTAATACAGTATCATTTGTTCCCTAACTTACAGTTTGGGCTCAAGAACAAATGAAGGATGTTGTATGTGGGGAATGCCTCCATGGGAAAGTCATGTTTCAGAGTCTGTTGTGACTTCTATTGTGTGCTTGTTTTGGTAGGACCCATGCTTTCATTGTGGTTGTTAGTGTGCTTAAGCAGGGGTCTTGGGCACCATAATTCAAGTATATTTGCATTTATCAACAGGTTTTTATGATGGTAGAACATCTTAGTTCCAAAGGAGGAAATAATTAGCATTGATTACAGAAGTATAAACAGAGCTCAAGTTCATGTGCCAACTTTTCTATTGCAACTCATCGATCGTTCTGCCATTGATATGCTAGCTGGGGTTTTATGGCATATGGCCATTAAGGGACTCCTCAAAGGAATCTATGGCAGGGCACCTGTTCATTCCTCTTCTGGTTCCAATCCTTGCCAAACCACCTGTGCTCTTGCCAGCCACTTTGAGGTGTGACAGTCAGAGCTGGCCTGATAAGGGAGCCAGCCAAAGGGATGGAGTGCCTTAGCTAGAAATCTCCAAATCCCAAATGCTATGGCCATAAAGAACTCAGATTCTTGAATATTTCTTGGCAACTGACCCCAAGTACTTTGCCTTCTGAGTGCTTTGGTATTTGTGTTGTTCCTCATTCCTGGTTTTGATCTGTCTTTCCCTTTTGGCCAAGTTTCCCTTTCTGTAAAATGGGGCTCTTGCTGGGATTAAATGAGAGAACATATCCAGACCTGGCATAGTGCCTGGCACAGAGTAAGTGCTCAATAAATGGTAGCTGTCATCTCCTTTTCCATGTCCAGGTTTCTCCTGGCTGTGTTCTCTGGACCTCCAATATTGGCCTGGACCAGGGCCTGTTCTCTCCCCTGACTGGAAAGCCAGGTCACCTGTCCCTCAGTCAAACTGGGCTCCCTTCTCTGGCAGTCTTCTGTTGTCCTTACCTGTCGCCATGTGGCACTTACTGTAACCACAGACTGCCCTCTGCCAACTTCTGACATTAACCTATTGAATCCTGGCAAAGAAGAACCAGTTTGCAGACAGGAATTTGCATGTGTGGGCCAGGCACAAGACCAGGAGGCAAAGCCATATTTCCCTGCCCTCCCCAATTGGGAGCAAATCACCCACATTCTGGTTAAAACCAGATGCTTCACACCCATGACTGCAATGCCACATATCCAACAGTTGCCTATAAGAAAAATAGAGTGGTTTTCACATTAGAAACATAACTTGCAGGTCACTTCTCAAATTTCCAAAAAGCAGCTACCAAACCTGGGTATTTTTCCCCTTGAAAACGACAAACCTGTTCAGTGTCTTGTAGGGACTTTCATTTGAAAGCCCTGGGAGAACTTATATGCTCTTTCCAAGGGGGTCTCTGGCTGCTTTAATTTTCAGGGAGTTAATATATTAGAGAAGATAAGAGATCTTCCCCAAGCTCACCTGTTCCTTGACAATGCTATGTAGTTACCTTGGCAAACAGCCAGTCTGAACACTAAAAAAGAGGGAATGAAGGAATCTTGAATGCTATACTCCATGCATGTCCAAACAAGGATGGTGTTTTGGGGCAACCGATAGAGGAGAAAAGAGATTTTTCAGACGAGGTGCTGTGAGCTGATCCCACCCTATTATATCCCATCCCACCAAAAAGAAAAGAAAGGATGTGTAGTAGCATTGTGATGCATCGTGACAACAGACTTCCCTGCTAGGGTCAGTTGCTCAACCTGAGAGACTCTTCACGCTGGGTAGCCACACCAGGGTCAAGAGCACAAGGTCATTTTAATGAGGTCATTACCATGGTTAGTTCTTATTTTTCCCCAATTTTCATTTATTTTTGGCTCTTGTGGCAATGAACTCTTTTCAATAAAAATGTGGAACACTTCAACAATTGGTGTGTCATCCTTGCGCAGGGGCTATGCTAATCTTCTCTGATTCATTCTAATTTTAGTATATGTGCTGCGGAAGCCAGCACCCATGATCAGTTCTTAACCACTTTGACTCCATATTTTTTTGTTGACGGCTTGTTGGTTATTGGTGCATTTGTTTCTAGCCCCTTGGAAGGAGAGTGAGAAGGGCACTAACATGATCAACTATTCTATATGTATCAGGCTTTGACACTCAGTTACATTCTGAGGGACTCACTTAGGTCCAGCAACTGTGTGGTTATCATATGAAACAGGAGCTTCTTGCTATGTATTCAGGAGGAGTATGCTAATTTTCTAGTGTTTTCAACATTAGATATTTTTTTTTTTTTTTTTTGGTTAGAGAAAGGCAGTTAAGTGTTGAATTAGTTCTTATCAGGAATTATCTCTTCCTCCTTCAAATCTCATGCAGATGCTAAATGGTTTCATTCATGTCATTTTACTGATGAATCAATACATCAAATAGCTTTTTTGAGTCTTCATAATGGGTAAGGTGCTGCATTTCTAGACTATGTCTTATTTCATTTTCATTGCAAAGCTATGAGGTAGGAACTGTTATTATCTTGATTTTACAACGAAGAGACTGAAGCTTAGGGAACATGAAACAAGATCACAGACAATAATTGGGGAGCTGGGATTCAAACTCAGATTTATGTGCCTCAATTAAACTATACTTCCTTCAAGTAACACATTGTAGGCCCTTCACAAAATTCAAGCTGGGGGCAGTGGTACACAGCTATAAATCCCTGTGACTTGGAAGGCTGAAGCAGGAGTATTGCATGTTTGAGGCCAGCCTCAACAATTTAATGAGGCCCTAAGCAACTTAGTGATACCCTGTCTCTAAATTTTAAAAACTAAAAGGACTGAAAGTGTAGCTCAGTGGTAGAGCACCCTTGGGTTCAATCCCCAGTACTGCAAAAAAACACCGAATTCATCTACTGCTGTTACTACTCCTCCTCTCCTTCCTCTTCCCCTTGCTTATGCAGCACTGCATTTGTCTAACAGGTTTTGGTGCTTTATACCCAGCAACCAATTGTAGAGTTCAGAGCCAGGCCTACATGCACGCATTCCATTTTTCTGTGCCGCTTGTAATGTAACACAGAGATGTGGGGCATATACAACTTGGGTAGTTTATTGACAGCCTGCTCAAAATTCACCAAACTTTAATTGAACACATAGTAGATAAGCAAGCTAAAATTCCTGTGCCCAAGTTGCTCATAAGACCTTGCAGGCCTACAGATATGGGAAGCATACATTTAAATGTATTAAATTTTCTTCATTTGAAAAAGGGATGAACTTAGTATGTAGACTATCAGAATATGTGTAAACAGGGACTGTAAAAGGCTTTAAAGAGGCAGGCCTCTTTAAAGGAAAAAGGAGCAGAAGCCTTAGTCACCAAATAGCTATGAGTGTTATCCCTTTCTGAGCTTCCATTTCCTCATCTGGGGCAATAGTCACAGTCACCATTTAGTGAGCACTTTACTGTGTATCAGGCACTGTGCTAGGTGATTTCCATTTAGTCATTATTCCCACTTTTCCCTTTTTAGAGGTAAGGCTCAGAGACATTAACTAACATACCCTGGGTCACACAGCTTTTCAGTGGTGCTATTTCTCTCTCCAGAATCCTCTTATAATCACTATGTTATATAGCCTTTCTTGTGTCCTGACTAAGCTCCATAGTCAAGTATTTTCTACTACGTTGCCTTAAAATAAATATGAAAATCACGGACAAACTTGCTTAACTGAGCCAAGAGGATAAACATTAGAAATAGCAATTAGTAGGTGAAATGTTGCCAGGAAGAGCTACACAAAAGCATAGAAAAGCAACAAGGGAGTTGACAATGATGGGAGTGGTGTGTGTGTGGCAGGAATTGAACGTTGATAGTTAATTGGATCCTCTCCAGCTCTTACCTTTCTCCTTCACCTTTCTGCTCCACAGTTTCTCAAGCTTCTCTAGAGAGCACAGCCCACTTAGATATAGCCCAAGCTGCCACAGGATGGCATCAGGCCAGAAATGGTAGGCCTAGGACAGTGGGGCGCTGGGCTAGGAACCATAAATAACCATGTTAATGAAAACCAGCTTTGGCCCAAAGCCTTGTCCTTTCTTAAGACATTCTGTGCCTCTTGTAATGACCTAGTTAGTTGAGAAAGGCCTAGCCTAGCATATACAACAATAAAAATAGCAGTTGCCCTTTAGTGAGCACTTACTTTGGGCCAGGACTTGTAGTAAACACTAACTAATTTAATCCTCACACAGCTGTGGAAAAGCAAGTATTAATATGTCTCCCACTTTGCACAGGAGGCAACAGGCTCAGAGAGGCTGTTATTTGTGCAAGTGCATACAGCTGATTGGAGCAAGAATTTGAAGCCTAAAGTGTCTATTTGCAGGGCTAGAGCTCTTAATTCCCCTACTTAATGAATGTCTGTTGGAGGAATAAACAGAAGAATGAATAGACTGATGTATTAATTCATTTCACCTTGCTCTGCAAACATTTAGTGAGTGCAATGTACGTGTCAGCCTCTGTGCTAGTCACTGAGGATTTTAATATTTAAAACACACACACACACCCTACATGGACCCTGCCCTCGAAGAGTCCACAAAAGCGCTCTCTTATGCCATGACTTCTGGGGAGGAGTCATTTGAGTTTCTTGAACAGCAGTTTTTAATGATGCTATTAAATTCAACCCAAAGCAAAGGTTGTGCACTGGTGAGCAAAGGGTTTCAAATGAGAATGCGTCTTTGATTTATCATCGATTCAGCCAGAGAATTGTTACTACGAGAAATGGAGCTGCAACTCCTATCACGTTAGTGAACTCTTCCTCCATCTATCATGTCTCTACCCTGTCGAACCCTCCCACGGTACAAAAGTTATCTGTACTCTAATGGACAATTATCCCATCCATCATTTCTGCTGGTCTTGCTGATTGCTGGCAGTCTACTTGCCCACAGAGGAGACTTACAAATAGTTGCAACCGATGATGTGCTGGAAAATTGCTCATTTTTATACATTTTAAATCCATGCAGAATGAATTCCTTTGCAGGCTGTAGTTTAAGCATTTGTTTTGTTGGTTATATAAGAGAAGGTTATGAATTCCTTACCTGGATGTGAAACATGACCTTCTACAACTATTTCAAAAGCCCTCTAGCAGTAGCCTTACAGCTATTTGTTAAAATGATGAATGAATGAATGAATGAATGAATGAATGAATGAAATAAACATACCTAGGGTAATAGCAGAGGAGCAAGGATTGTACTTGGGGCTTGGGGGGATGGTCTTTGCACCAGGGTGATCATCATCTTCCTTTTTCATTCCGTGTATTTTAAAAAGAGTCCCAAGTTGATTAGGTTGAAGTGAAAACTCAATGATGCTGAAAGGAGAAGTTGAGGGACAGTGAGAGGTGCCTGTTGAATTCCCTGGGACTATTGCTATGAGATTTGAGGGTACAAATATTCCCCTTCCCCATGTTCCACCTCAAGCCTGGTAATATATTTAACTTTTTTTGGGGGGGTAGTACTGGGGATTGAACCAAGGGGTGCATAACCACTGAACCACTTCACCACCCTTTTTAACATTTTATTTAGAGACAGGGTGTCACTGAGTTGATTAGTGTCTTATTTTTGCTGAGGCTGGCTTTGCATTCATGATCCTCCTGTTTCAGCCTCCCAAGCCACTGGGGTTACAGGCATCCACCACTGCACCAGGCATATTTAAGTTTTTATTATATATGTGTGTATATATATATATATATATATATATATATATATATATATATATATTTGTTGTTTGTTTGTTTATTTTTATGTGATGCTGAGATTTGAACCCAGAGGCTCAAACATGCAAGCTGAGCACTCTACCACTGAGCCACAACCCCAGCCCTTAACTTTTGATTATAATAATCAACATTAGTACAGAGTCACCAATTGCCCAAGGCAAAACCCCAACAGTTGCCTTTCGTTCATGTTTTTTTTTTTTTTTGCATTCATCTTTATTTCTTAATTCTACATTCAGCCACTCACTAAGCACTGCCAAGTCTACATCCTAAGCATTCCTTGAATGTGATCCATTTTCTCCATTCTTCTGCCACTTCCTTAGTTCAGGACAGCACCCCCATCATCTCTTGCCTTAATTCCTATAATAGTGTCACTTCTCTCACTTTTTCTCTTTCCCCACTTTTGTGAATTCTTCCCAAAGTGGCCTGAGTGATGTTTCAGATATGCAAATCTGATATTTCATATCCTATCCCCTACACTTGATCTTCATAAATAGCTTCACTACACTTGAGACCAGAGGCATTCAAAGTGTGGCCCTAGAAACAGCAGCACTGGCATCTCTGACAAGTCATTAGAGTTGAATCAGAAACTTGGGGGTGCCCACTCCCAACCTGTGTTCAGCAAGCTTTCCAGGTGATTGTGATGAGCATATAATTTGAGAACTCACTCCCTAAAGCAATGCTTCTCAATCCTGGATGGACACTAGAATAAACTGAAAGAGCTTTAAAAAATTTCAGTGCCTCCCCGACAGATTAATGGAATCAGAGTCCCTGGGGTGAGATCGTCATCAGTATTTTTGAACCCCCCCCCCAGATATTCTAATGTAGACTGAGGATGAGAACTACTATGTTACAGGATGAAGCACAAGCTCCTTAGCTTGGTATTTAAGGTCTACTTCCTTGGTCACATCTTTCCATGCCCTTGCTTGTTCATTCTAGAATCCAATGAGGGAGACATTTGGAATTCCCTTACAGTCACACGCAGTCTTTTACCTCTGTGCATTTGCGCATATCACTCCCAATGACTTGGCTTCTCCTTCCTCCCTCCTTTCACCTAGCTCATATTTTCTCATTTACGGTACATAGCTCAGAAGACACTTTTATGAAAGAGATTCCTTTGATCCTCCATTCTGGGTTAGATGTCTCTCCTCCATACTCCTACAGTGTCCATATCATAGCACTAGATGCTTAGTTTTGTTGTTCTCTGGTTAGTCATCTTCTTCCCCTTCCCACTTAAGAGCAAGGATTCTCATCTAAAGTATGGTGCCTGGCACATAGTAGACATTTCATAATTCCTGTGCATTTTTGTTCTCTATTCCTGGGGTGCTCTTCTGTGCATCACCCATGACATAGATTTCAACTCAGCCTTCAAGATGCAGGTATCATATCTATTTTTTTGGGGGGGGGCTACTAAGGATTGAACCCAGAGGCACTGAACCATAGAACCACATCCCCAGACCTTTTTATATTTTATTTAGAGACAGGGTTTTGCTAAATTGCTGGGGGCCTTGCTAAGTTGCTGAGGCTGGTTTTGAATTTGTGATCCTCCTGCCTCAGCTTCCTGAGCTGCTGGGAACAATTTTTTTAAAAAAAATTGTTCTTGGGCTGGGGATGTGGCTCAAGCGGTAGCACGCTTGCCTGGCATGTGTGCGGCCCAGGTTCGATCCTCAGCACCACATACCAACAAAGATGTTGTGTCTGCCAAGAACTAAAAAATAAATATTAAAAATTCTCTCTCTCTCTCTCTTTAAAAAAAATTTGTTCTTTTTAGATAAACATGACAGTAGACTGTATTTTGACATATTATACATACATGGAGCATAACTTTCCATTCTTTTGGTTGTACATGATGAGGAGTTTTGCTGGTTGTGTATTCATATACATTCACTCTACACTCCATTCTTTCTACTGTCTTTCCTGTTCCCATCCCCCCTCAGATGTCACATCTTGAAAACCTATAAATCCCCTTCATGGGTTAGGCAGTCTTCCTCTGGATTCCCATAATATCCTAACTGCAATCCTATCTTAGCCCTTAGCACATGAGGCCATCATAGACTGTTTGCATGTCTGCCTCCCCCACGAGACTATGAGCAACTTGAGGTTAGAGGCAGAGTCTGTACATTTCTGTATTCCAGATCCTAGAACAATGTCTGGTACATGTCAGGTGCTCAGGAAACCTTTTGTGAATGGATAATCGAATAAATGAAGACCTTCATCTTCTTCTCCATGTCTTCTGCCACTACTCTGTCCAGGCTCCCATTGCTTTATTTCAATAAATTTCAGACTACTTTCCATTTCTCCTTTCTCCAGTCTATCTGAACACTTCCCCATTCCCAAGATGTGACTTTCTCAGTCTGTAGTCACCATATCCCTTCCCTACCCAAAGGCTTTCAGTGATTCCTCACTGTGTGTGTGGAGCAAGCATGAAAGAAGTATTAAAGAACTTCCTTTCAAAGAGTCCCCTGCCTTTCCAGCCATCCCTCTTTCATTCCCCTGTGTAGGACCTGCCCATCATTTGTGAGCCCTGATGCAAAATGAAAAATTGGAGCCCCATGTTAAAAAATCATGAAGGATTTCAAGATGGCAACAGAGCAATAAACCAATCTGGGGTCCTTCTGAGTATAGGGCCCCATGTGACAGCACAGGCCTGCCCCTACAAGTATCCAGTGTGCTGGCCAAAGGCACTCACTCATCATTCAATTGCTCTGCATGTTCACTTTCTCTGTGACTTTTTTCTGCCTCTTCCTAGCCTTCTCTACCCCACTGGCCAATCTAAAGCTTGTCTTTCCCACGGGTCCACCCTGTTCTTCAAGGACTTGTTCAGGTGTTACCTAATACCATTCCAGACCTTTAGTATTTTTTACCACACACCTTGATATTAATAGTTATTTTTAGATGTGTGTAGTCTGGTCTCTGCTGAATTTTAAGCAACTTGAGTACAGGGACTCTATTTGGTTCATCTTCGTGTTTCTTAAAGACCTAACACAATACTCATCTTACTGGTTGAATGACTCAGGGAAGAAAGGTCACAGCTCTGATCACTGAGTCAGCCAAAAGAAAACAACATTGAAAACCCGATTTGAGTCCATCCTAATATTAGTTGTGTAACTTTGAAGGAGTCAATGTTCTCTGAGCCCTAGCTTTGCCATCTATAAAAAGATTATACTTAGAAAAATAATGTAGAAAAAGTTACTTTCTGCTGGTATCTTGTTCTTTGCTAATGTTTTCAAAATCTTTTGTTTTTTAATACTCATAAGACTTATTTTATATTTTATATCACATAATTGCAATACCTGAGGTCTTTGAGGATCTAATTCTGTTTTCGTTGTTTCTGGCTTCATTGTGTGCTTTGTAATTTTGGATTATGAGTTCATGTTCAGCCAGACTTTATCCTTGGTAATCCTATGAAAACTGGGTTGAGGGTGTGTTCCTCCAGGGAGGATTTGTGTTTGCTTCTTCCAGGTGCTTCAGGGCACTATTAATCCAGGACTGCTTTAGGTGAATTGTTTAGTTGTAAAGACAGGGGTCATGTCTCCTTTGTCTATATGACTCCAGATCTTAGCACAGGGACTTGTAGATGCTCAACATGTATTTGTTGATTGAGTAGACAAATAAAGAAATGAATAAGGCATTCTAACAGTTTCTCTTGGACACCCAACAAGAGATGTAAATTCCAGTGTTAACAAAGGATAGTAGGTACATCAGAAAAATAAATAATTACTAACATTTATTGGGCATCTATTATGTGCCAAATATCATACTAAGTCCTTTGTGTGTATTAACTCATTTAATTTTTACTCAATGTGATATGTACTATTATTGTCCTCAATTTACAGAGGAGGCACCAGACAGGCTGAGTAACTTGGTCAATGTCATACATCTGGTAAATGGTGGAACTTGAATACGAACCCAATCACCTTAGAGATAGTCCTAATCACCACCTTATATTGGAGAAGTGTTCAATAGTAGTGACATAAGTGACAGAATGGAAAATTTCAGTACTGTTGAAGGGATTGGGAGAGTTACACAGGCCACACGAGGCATGGGAAGGGACTTAGCATGGTCTAGTATCATTAGACCTTGTATGTAGGTCAGTCTACCCCAATGATAAAAGGAGAAGTTTGATGGCAGGCATTGTGGATTATTGCTCTTTGAATTGCTCAATATAGCTTTGCTGAATCTATTGAATGTATTAAAATTAATCACAGGGATGTTTTGAATAAATTATTTCACATCTTGTGTATGTGTATCAGATGGAAAGTTGTGATCAATCTTTCATATTTATTAAAAACTTGAAAATACCTAGATGTGACCATAACATGTTTGGGTATAATGACATGTTGCATTTGTACTAGAGTATGGTACCCAGGACCCTGGGAATAGGAAGGAAGAAACTTGGATTCTGCCTTCATTGGCCCCATAACCCGTTTTTTGGCTACTTTCCAAATTTAGGAGGCCCTGGAGCAAAGAGGGGCTTTATTTGCTCTTATCCTTGCCAAGGCCAGGAAAGAATTTGAGTGTGGACTCTTAGTAAACATTCTGAGTCTTCTTCCTAGCACTACTCTGGTAGAATGAAATTCCCAGCTTTCACCAATCTT